AGGGAAATCACCAAATCTAACTTTCCTCGTTCAAGTTTTTTCCCCTGATTATTCATGTCTACTTTTAGCTTTTATTTTAAACAAAATTTAGTCACACGTTTCACCTAAATACCACCCCCTACATTACCTCATCGTCTCTTTTCTAAACGTGACTCAACAGAAGACACAATTTGAAGCTTCGATGGAAACACCCACACTTCGATTTTCTTTTGGTCATTTCACTCCATAGAACATCTCTAATACGTTATAATACTTTTATACATAATACATATAACTCCGCAATAGTCAAAAAATGTATCAATGAAGTGCAAATTTAATTTAAGTCGATAATTCACGTTAGTTAATTTCTAATAACGCAATTGCGAAGTTCTACGTGGTCGAAAGAAACGCGAGAAATGATATAAGGGGACACAGCGTCGCGTCACCTGTACTGATATACTACAGGCTGAAAATAAGTCAGGCCACGATAAGCGATGTAATATATTTTTCCAGCGTAGAAAGTTCGCGTCGCGGGACGGATAAATCGTTCTTCTGCGCGATTTGATGCGGATAAGTTATTTCTTTCGCGGAAATCAGCGCCGTCCGAGCCATTCCTGTGATACACCGCGCAAAAGAATCGAGAATCTCCGTGTATATACGTATGCGATCTATTTCGTATACGTGATCGATCATTACAAGATTAACTGAACGCGAAGAACGTAAGATACGAGTCTAATAATAAAAGTGAAACATTCGTAAACTAAATTTTAATTGTATCTTGTTACAGTTGATCTTGAATCTTCCATTCCTTGAAAGATTTCTTGAATGTACTGTTTAGTTTGTCGAATGTTTAAAAAACTTTACTTTTCCGCAATCTTGAAAGAAAATCTTATTTTTCAATTTATTTTTTGTATTTCCATGTTTTTCCATTTCTTTTTATTTATTTTTTTTTCACGTGTCTATGTTTTCTTATGTTTTTTTCTATATACTTTCAAGTAACGTTATAATTACTCATTTTGTAAACTTGTCTAACCTGTATGAACTTCACATATGTCATTGAAATGTTTTATTTCACGTAAATACGTGAATTACGTATTTATTATAGAATTTTATTATTAATTAAATTAATATTATTAACTTAATATTATATTATTAATACAGAATTGTGAACTCTAACCATGATGTGAAATTTGTATGTTCAATCTTTGGCACCTTCCGGGGATGCGAATTCTTGAATGTTAAAATAGTTCGAATCGTTCCTTAAATGTAATGCTTCCTTCTTTCATTTTCTTCTTCTTTCTACCGCCGTTCTTATATCTTCATGCGAATGAAAAGACTGCGACGAGAGTCCCTCGAGTTCGAGATCACTCGATAACCACTAGAGACGTGGACGGATAAAGTCAGGAAATGCAAGCTGGAAACTTCATTTCGCACTACTCGTTAATATGTTAATCTTACAAGAATCTTATTTGATTGGCCGACACCAGGCGTTGAGAGCTTCGTCGTAGTGGAAAAAGAAAACGTGAATGATTATTGTTGACGGATAAAAAGGATGCGATGAATAGAGTGTCGGCGTTTTCAACCGTCAACTTTCGCTTCATCAGCTTTTTCACTCATTCTCAGATCGATGATCACGGAGGAATAATAACTTCTTGTCTGACATCTTCGGACAGATATTCTAAAATGGGGTCACTCTGCATTTACAAATTCTCAATGTCTTCATCAGTGACACTACATAAGTATACATGTCAACGTTATATTCAAAAAGAAGTTGAAGAAAGCTAAATAAAGAAAGCGATGATTCGATTATGAAATTGTTTAAGTTTCGGCAGTTTCTTCAAGAACACTATATATGAATGTACCTGTGCAACTGGACGAGTCGTTCTTGGATGCAGTTTCGCGTGGGCTTGTGAGACGTCGTTATCGGTTCGCAGTTTAGCCGCTGCAATTATTAACATCGAGTTCGTCTGAATTCCGAAAGAAGAGTCTTAATCGTTTGGTAAAACACGATCGAACTTTCGTGTATCCCATGTGCACCACGTAAAACCCTTTGTAATAATTCTCACCTAAAAAAAAGTGCATAATGATCAATTAAAATATCCATTCAAATAATAACAATTAAAATATAATAAATAAATAAGACGAAACAGTAAAAAAGATAAATAACAAACCTTCTTACACACAAGTTTCTTGAAATAAATTATACAATTTCTCTCTATATTCACTTTCAATAGGACCTTCAAAGTACGATAATAACAATCAAAATATAATACTTCTATTCTTTCCTTACATCTCAGACTAAAAAAAATGACAATAGAAAAAGAAATGAAGAAAAGAAAGAAAGGAAAAGAAATAAAAATTTATTGTAAAAAAACATTAAATGATATTGCCTCAAGTATGACTCTAAGCTACCTCATTTGCAGACACCCGGTATCGAGGAAAGGACAAGGCTCGCCAGGGCATGAACGATGCATTTTTAACTGTGATTCTCGGTCGCGAGACGGTTCCCCCTCTAGTTACGACACGGATGAGGAAGGCCGCTCGGAACGCAGAGATATCCGACCGGAATAAAGTGCACGGGAATTGTGGCGCGGGTGCCATTTGACTGTTGGCCAAGCCAGACGCAGACTTAGTTTCTTTTTAGACCGTAAGGCTTAGATGGCGCGGCATTATTGTACTATTAATGCCGAGCGTCGTTGGTTCTGCTGGTCGTGGCGCGAAACGAGATGCAGCTAACCCCCGTCGTGCTACCTATCCCCATCTGGAAAAGGGGGTTACGACCGTTTCCTGATAATCCGGATAACCTGACGCTGCCGTACACGTTTTGGAGGAACTTGCTGGTACGGTGCCAGGGACGCAGTGTCAGGGACTTCAGTGGTTAGTCGCACCTGAGTAGTCGAAATGCTTTGAAATTGCTTCTCCTATATGTTATTAGTTTCTTCTTTCGTATTCCATTTTTTTTTTATAGGATCTGTTTTCATTGGAAAATACATAAAAATCTATTAAAAGATTAAAGCGATCGTCGAGGAGTGTATTTTGTTTTTGTATGAAGAGAGAGAAACGGATGTTGATTTACAGAACGCAGTGCAACGGCGGGAATTGGATCGTAAATATTCATTCACGGAGAGATGATAAGAAGATGGTAGAGAAAGAAGAGACACGACAGGGTAAGAGGAATGGATAGAGGGAAAGTGGATTGGAAAGGCGAGGAAATGAGGTAAAGAGGTGAGTAAAGGGATAAGCAGCGAAGGAATAGCGAAAATTGGGTCGTAAACGTTCGATTTAGGGATATGGTTGGATAAGAGGTACTGATAGACAACGAGAAGGAAATAGAAGACGAGGTAAAGGGATGAACGGCAGTCGTGGGAATGGAAAAACAAGGAAGATGATTGAAAACCGGATTAAGAGAACGAATGTGGGTTAAAGTGACTAGAAATATGTGGAGTAAGTTAATACGATGAAAAAAGGAAAATAAGAGAAAAAGGAAGGAATACAAGGAGTGAGATTAAAAAAAGGTGAGAAGAAAAATGGGAAAAGGGAAAGGGCAAAGCGACAAGGTACAGGGCAGAAAACGAGAGAAATGTATATAAAAGAACAGGAAAAGTGTGATAGAAAAAGAGGTAAAGAAAATGAGGAATAAAAACGTGCGACATGACTAACAGAAAGACAAGTTCCATTTAAAACATACCATAAAAACTCGAGTAATAGGAGAACGCATTCGGGCGAACAATTTTCTTATTCTGTTTTCTATTTTCGCATTTACGATCATATCAAAGAACACACACATTGTTCTTTTCTATTATTTATTAAATCTTCTAAGATACTTTATATACGATTTTTTTTATACTATTATTAAGACTGTTCTGATACCTTTCAAGAATAAAACATTTGTGGTTTCCTTAGTTCCACTCGCGTAAGAATTATAAAGATCGAAGGAAACCCTGTATAAGAACAAATACTGGGATGACAAAACAAGGTCGAACCATAAAATATAAAGGAACACTTTCATTTGAAATAACCTCTTTCGATAAATGAAAACTGTATTTTGTTTGGTTACAAACCCAACAGTTAAGCGACATAAAATAATAAACTAATTTAATACAGATAAAAACTTTCTAATAATACCTCGTATTACGGATGCCCCAATAAATCAATCAAACACTCTTATTTTGTCCACCTTTCCCTTTTTTTTCGCTTTTTCTTGCATTCCTTTTGTTTACAGACTTTTTCTAACCTCATCTTTGTTTCTTGTAAATTTTTATATAAATATTTGTTGATGTAAAATATTTATCTTTTTCCAGCACATACAATTCTTACTCAAAATTTTGCCTAACCTTTTTAAGAAATAATTAGAACTTAAAAATACAGAATTTATATCCAAATACACTTATCGGTGCTCAAAATAGCATTATATAGCAGTACATACCATGTAATATATATAGTTATTCAATACTTAAATTTAAATAACATATTTAATATTTAAATATTAATATATCACTCAAGCAATTTATTTTCTATGATATTATCTTCTTTAACAAATCGTTCTCGTGAAATTAATTCGTCGTGGGTGCGTCAAAAATTCGTGATATCGTTTAACACGATTCGATTTACCGAGTTTCACTGTGTCCAACAAATTCACACATCGAATGGTCGATCAAAGCGACAATTGCGTCAGAAGCGCGAGGCTAAACATGGAAAGAAAGATGGCGGGTAAAGAGTGACGGTGAAATAGGAATCTATGTGTGCATTGCCGTTTCAAACACAAAACGTCGAATAAAAGTATCATACAAAGGGGTAAAACGTATAACATACGAACAATAAAATAAACATCGTGATGTATGCAAAGCAAAAACAAAGGAAAGGGGAAGGGTAATTGGAAAGATGCGCTAGAAACGGAAGAAAGTTAGTGCAAGATTTTATTCGAGTTCAATTCGCAAATGACCAAATTCGTAAAAACTGTCGGTAACATGAAATCCCAAGTTGAACCGATAATACAAATTCTGTACGACGAAAGGCTGGATGTTACCGGCAGGTCGAGTTTAGTTGATGGGACGGGTTGATATTGAACTAATTATTCGGATTAACGTACCGGCAGGTAACGCGATTTCTGCATTATATTTATTGACCGGTGACTACGGGAACGCGGCCGTATTTCGCGGTGGCTTTCATCATCGAGGATTCGCTTTAAAATGAATTTACCATCGTAAGCGAATTTAAAATCGTCTCGGAAACCAGATTTTCCATGTTGTTCATGATGAGTTTACGGAATACTCATTGGTTTTAAACATATTACACAGAGTAGATGGATTTACGTACATAGAGAATTGATTTTTAATTCGATCTGGATTTGTGATCTTCAGCAAATAAAGGATACGATCTCTGTTTGTGGTAAAAACAAAATTGAATCGTACGTTCGATAAGTAAGAAAATGAATAGCATTATTTAATTAGGAAAATTCGTGAAGTTTATACAAGTACGCCTGTAAAAGACAGTCATTCTGTAATGTGTTGCTGGTTGTTATTCTGCAGGGGTTTAAGGTTATGTATACGTATTAATACAGTTGAAGTATAAGATAGATTTATTTATAATTAATTTATGATTTATAATTTAAATTATATTTAAATAATTATATTTTAATACGGGAAAATAATTTTACTGTTACCTTTCTTTTATTACTTATTTTTTCACTATTATTTCTTATTTTCTATTTTGCAGTTTTCTGAACGTGACATTTTCAAAAAAGGCTATTCCATATAACATTTTTTTATCTGGAAGATAAAAGTTGTTAAAAGGAAGTAAAGAAAATATTCGACGTGTGAAATATTTATAAGCATTCTCATAGTGGTCTTTTTTCTTTTTCAGGAAAGTAATTGTCAAGTATAGAAACTTCTTACCATTCCGGAAGAATAATTCAAGAACATAATTATGAGTAAAAAGTCAACTTTAAAGTCGTGAGGAATAAGAAAAGCGGCGTAATGCAGCGAGGGAAGAAGTCGTTTCGTTTGTCGCGTTTACGAGCATTTCCCTGGACAGTTTCCAATTTTAAAACGAATAAGACAATCAGGTAAGTGCGACGAAATAGAGGCTAATTAATCAACTAGTGTTAGGAGTGTCTCTGCGAAGAGTTTTTTGGTATAAATATTGCGAATTAGGAGAGCGACAGGCTTAAACACGATAAAAGATATAAATTAGACGTAGCGTTAGCAAAATTAGCTTCAATAGATGATCCACTGGTTTCAAATAGATTCTGATACATTTGAATGAGCAATGAACATATTTGAAGAGTGATTATAAATTTCAGTAAGCAACAGGCTGCGGGGTTTGGTTTGCAGGTTAATCAGTTTATTAGTCTATCCTTAATTCACATTCATGTTTATTATCATCAAGTTTTGCTAAGGAATTAAACGACTAACGTAAATTATAGATAATTGGAAATGCAAATGGAATATATGCAATCAACGACAAATGTTTAAATCTTCTATCATCGCCATATTGGAACGTCTGTCTTCTTAGAGAGTTTGTCTCTTGCCTCTGGTAAAACTTGGCCTTTCGTATCTTCTTCAAACAATCGGTTCAACCGGAACAAACATAATCTTTGCCTTCGAAATAGATTTGTTTTCATTGTTTCCACGGGGTCAATAGAAATATATCGAGTTTTACGGAAATATAGAATATAAGTGTGTCTTACCTTATCGGAAAAAGCGTGCTTAGACTGATAGCTGCGTCCAAAAGCGTCAGATGCAGGATTCCAATTCTAGTCGCTTCATATAATATATTAAAAGCAGAAAATTTCATAATATTTTCGTATAGATAAAATAAACGAATGTTATTTATAGTATTGAACAAAAGTTATATTTAAAATACTAATATAATTACAATTAGGAGAAGCAATTTTTACTAAAACGGCGTTGAACAAATAATAAGTATTTTAGAAAATGTTATAAACTCTAATAATAACTATTCACATGCTAAAATGGAAAATTCATTCGGTCATTTTCTTTATTTACAATAACTCTTATATAAATCATTGAAAATATTATATTCTGATGTATAAGTACATATGCACATGTAAAAACAAAAAGAAATGAAGGTGTATGAATCATTGAATTGTATGAAAGTGTCCAAGTGTTGCTTTAGCCAGAAAAAGTGATGCAACGAAAATTCACACAATTTCAATCTCTGTCGAGTTGCGAAAGCTAATGACACCGCTAATGATTTGCGATTCTAGAGGGCGTTGATTAATCATGATCACGCACCGCTAACTTTTCCGGGAATAGTCAGAACTTCGTCGTTTTCTGGTGTTACGTGCATGTCCGATGCACATGCATCGTGCTTTTGCATTCGTGGCCACGTGCTACATGCACGTGAGTTGTCCCCATCCTCGATTACGTGTAAAGTTAAAGCGACCTCTGTTTCGTGATCTTTTCTTCTTTTACGATTAAGTACAATAGACTCCCGTAGAATACGGAACGTATTATTTGTATTATATTGGGGACTGGGCCCACTTTACTTGCGTTTTTGGAAACAATAAAATGTTCACTATATTAACTACAGAGTAGTAATACGAGGTTTCAGATAAACTATTGTAAATTCTGAGATTCAAAAGCTGAGTTTCTAACTTCATTGGTAAGTTATAATTATCCTTCGACATTAAGCTGAATAGTGTATTTTGAAGGAATTGATAAATCTCTGGGCAAGTTCGAGTTCCTATGTACATTTTTTCTACGTACAAGCAGGAAAATAGAACTATAATTTAAGATAAATTATGAAGTTATAAATATCGTATATGTTGATAAAAAAAAATTCAAATTAAAACGATAAGAAAAAGTTCGTTACCGTAAGTAACTGTTATTTTTTTCCTCGACTTTAGACCAGAATTATAAGCTAGGCTATAAATGAACGCTCGCAGTTCGTTTTCGAGTTATCTATAATTGCTCGATTAGATCAGAAGTCGGGCAAGACGGTGCTCAATATGCATCTGCAACATTTATAAATATTTTAATAGAAATGCAAGCAGAAATTGGAACTAAATTTAATTTCACGTTAGGAACATGTCTGTTTCGATTCTACCTGTATATCGAGAATCATTGTCGTCGATTTTTTCATCATCTATCGCATAAAACGACGATCTTCGATTACATAGAATGCTCGTGCTGTCTCTTGACCTCAGATTAAATCAATGGTGGTCAACTGGATCGACCTCCGGGTCATCGGTACGATAGTAAACAACTCGTGTAGCGCATTTTTTCGCTGTTACTCTTGGTCTTTTTTCCCTTCTATTTTTCATCCATTAATATTTTTTGATACAATATTATAGTGACTCGACTCCAATGTATTCGGGATGTTTCAATTTTACGTGACTTTTATTCCAAATTTAGTTTTATCAGAATTTTATCACATTATTACCTGCGTTTATCGAATTTTTAAGCAGTACTGAACAATTAAGTAACAAAATTAAAATTTGCGTAATACTATTTACTTGTTTTTCTATCCAATGTGATAAATGGCATAGTTTTACCGAAATCATGGTGCCAACATTTTACTTCATTTACCGGATTGATATATCACATTAAATATTATGGAGAGAAAATACCTTTCTCTTGTAGACTTTCCAATAGTTACTAATATTCTTCAGTATATTCATTCATAAATAACTTCAGTAGTTTTAATAATTCCATATTTCTGTAATGTTCTCACCTGTTGAAAAATAAATTATATGATATGGCGGTAGATATTATATTTCTTTGTTTCTATTTGCAATTATTTAGATTGTAAAAGAAAATGTAATTAAGATATTAAGAGCTATGATATTTGTTAGTAAAAATTAGGAGCAAAAACCTTTACTTGAAGCCTTTTAACTAAACAGAACGCTCCAAAGGAAAATCTAACCCCCTTATAAGCAGCCAGAAAATTATCTGGTTCATCGATAGACGTTGATCGATGGACGTTGGTTGGTCGATCAAGGGGGCGGCTATAGTGATTCACCATTTTTGATAGTATTTCCAGTGACGTAGTGTAGTTAGGGGGCGAAGAACCTCGTGGTAGGGACCTGGAACCAGCTGTTCTAATCTCTTTCGACTGGCATATCGTGAGTGAAACCGCGGTAGTAGTACGTACGACGTCAGCGTGGACGTTCGACGTTTCCTCTCAAATCTCCTCGCTTCCTTTGCCGTGTTTTTCGCCCTTTCCGTCCTTAAACTTGTTATCATCAACGCATCGATTTGGACCTACATTGACCAGAAATCTGTAGTGTTATATCTTGTGAATATTATTTCTGATGTTAATAATATTATTACTATACGTACCACTTGGAGTTCTGTGTTGATTGTGTCGAGACACCGTGCTTTCATTAGACTTTTGAATGATCGGGTGGTGATACGCTTCCGCCTTGAACGTGTACTCAACCAGTACGGAAAACACGGAAAGAATATCGGTGTGTAGTGAATTAATTGTGAGACGCATACAGGTGGATCGGATTCTTCCCTGTTCGACTAATTTCGGGTAAGAAGATTTATAGTTAAAATCATTTGTAATTTAAAATGGTTGAAGTTAAATCGATGGAAAGCTACTGCGTACTGAAATCGTGTATTCGAGGTATCCTTGAAAACTTGAATCTACATTCTTCTCCATTGGTAGTCTGTTTACCGTATTGGACAAAATTATAACGACGATGACACAATGATGTCAATTTGATAATTAATTGGTAAAATTAATATTCTTGACATTTATATCTTAATACTGTTAATCGTTGATAATGTTTAAGAAGAATGTAATATTTATTGATTAACAAATATCTCTCTAAATAGGTAAATAATTTTCATTCTAATGTTATAATTTTGTTCAGTAATATATACTTTCCACTGGAGAATTAATAACGTTAAAATGAAATGCAAAGGTAAATAAGTAATTTATATATTTCAAATGAATGAATGCAGTGTACTTACAAAATTTTATAAACAATTATAACTGGAAAACCAGGATAAGTAGAATACATTTTAAACGCTCCTGAGACATGTATAAATATTAAATTTATGTTTTTGACAAGCCACTGCACCTATATATAACATATATATGAAAAGTAAAATTATTCAAACACTTTATGACGTATTTGGTATCTCAAATTTTTATTCTAACCTCAAAAGTATCTTATGACTACGAGTGTTTATTTAATTGAAATATTTTAATTGTATCACTTGTCAGTAATTCTCATTCACAAATCTATTGTCTATCGATGATTATTCACAACTGTCAATAAGTTAACAAAATCAAGGAAATTTTCAAACACGATCATTGTATACATGGAGTATTGCAAGAAGTTGCGAAGAAAGCACGAACTACGAACTGGAGGAAAGAAAAATCCGCTCGCGTCGTTCGGTATAACCTTTCACAGGCGCCGGGAATATTTTTCTGACCCCAAACTGACAAGCTCGGCACAGAATGCCGCACACGAGGCCCGATTAAAAATGTGCTCGATAAGAACTCGTGGAAAAGTTCGTGTTCCTTAACCTCTTCCACGCTGTATTTCTATTAAGTGGCGACCACTGCAGAAGGAATGCTGGTTCAATTTACTTTTCATTCAACAATTCTGGCGACAATTTGAAAATTTCTTTCAATAATGCTTTCACGTTTAATCAGCTCGTAATTTATTTTGTATTTCATTACGTCATTGTCTTTTTCGTTCGGTATTAGTACAAAAAAATTAATATTAACATATTCGCTATACAAATAGATGCTATAAATTAACTCTATCTTTGTGAAGGATGTGATAGAGTTGGTAGCTATACCCATTAGGTTTTGCAAGTAAACAGTAATAAAATTTCTTTAGATTTCCCTTAAACTCGTTTAACATCTAGTATAACCTAGAATTCTAAACTAAAACATAAAATTAAAAAATTTGATTTCCATGAATAGTTTCAGGATCGAAGTAAATATGATTGAAAAGTTGATTTCCTAATATCGTCTTGCCAAAAAATCATCGATCACAGAGGAAGATCTCATCGTGCTTTATCGTGTCTGATCAGTTTCTCTCTATACCGTTGCACGCCTCGCTAATTGTTTATACTCGAATGGTCGCCCGATATAATTGTATCGCGTTGCGACGTATTTTTAATGGTTCGTGGGCGCGTGTATAAATAGTATACCGTGCCGATAACCCGTTCTTTCTTTCTCCATCTCATCCCCTCTCTTACATTCCTTGGTCTGTCGCTATCGAACGTTTTCTTGTTCGCGTCCTGATCGCACTCTCATGACCCTACTACTTTCTCGTTGTTGCTAGTATCGCATTTACTAACCCTTTATAACCGAAATTTCGTTTGCTCGTGAGAAAAACCGTTCCTGATCAATTATTTTTTTTTTTAGACTATAAGAGTTAGAAGCTATTAATTACTAGACACTGATTGTTGGTTGTTAATACAGTAAACTAATTTAATAGTACAGTGATAAATAAATAAAATATATATAACTTTCAACTGTGAGAAAAATATAATTCTAAAAAGTTCATTTTGTACCATTCATCTTTCTTTTTCACATTTTTCTTCAATTGTAATGAGAAAGAGGTACAACCTGCTCCAACTACATGGACCACTTTGTATACCGATTTTTATAATAGTTCCTCTCTCTTTTTCTCTATAAAACTGAGAGTTACCAAAGCGATATTCGTGCCATTAAACACAAGGGAAAATTAATCCCACACCTGAAAAGAACTAACCCAGTGATAGATCTATCTACCGGTTCCACGCTTCGCATCCCTCTGGCTAAAAACGATTAATCACAACAGATCACAATCCAAATCGCATGGGTTCCCCAGCAGTCAACGGGCTGCTTCCGGCCAACATCCTCCGGAACTGCCAATAAACGGTTGTCCACGGTTATTAACGCAATTAGAATAATTGATCGTCTAACGGGGGATGGCCGATATCGTCATGTAATGCCATTATTACGACGACATGATGGCAATGATGTAAGGTGACATGAGACAATCTGTCGGGAGACGGGCCATAGGAGGGATGCAACGTTCCCAATCGTGAAATCAGCTTTGTATTGTCGTATGCAGCAGGCTTAACATACCATCAACAATAGTTGAGTATGTTTAAACGACGACTATTTCTTGTGAACAGTCGTGGTTAAATACCTGACGTGGTTTGTGAGATTCGATTTAAGAAGAATATGACGTCATGTTGACAAAGTTCACAGAGCGTGGTAAAGCGATCAGGGTAAGCGTTTATACTTTGATGAATCGTTCAACGCAAGATATTTGGTTTCAAAGTAGACATCCTGTGACTATATCCTTATTCTTCCTTTGCGGGGTATTTCGTGGCGAAAGTTTGCTTGGTTAGAGATAGTTCAGACATGGAAGAACTATTTGGCCGGATTTTGGGATAAAAATCGGTTTGTTGATGAGTATGAATGAATCCTAGGATACTGGTTGCTGATGGGACATGTCGCTTGCCACAGGATAATTTTTTCTAATGCTAGGACTAACTTTGCTTGTTCTTCTTGGTGCGTTAAAGTGACGTGGGTGGAAATGTAGAATATTACCAAGTACTTCGCAAATAGTTCTAATTCCTAGAAATGGTTCAATACAGAAATGTTTAAGTGCTTAAGCTGCTAAATATTCTTAAAATATAGATCATAGGAAAGTTGAAACATTCAGATAAAAAATGTATTTTATACGTGAGTGAATACTTTTATAATTTGAACTTTGTCTTCTAATCAAACTGGTCTTAATTCTTGTGAAACGTTGAAGTATTTGATAAGGGATAACTGCTTCAATCAAAATCCTCAAATTCGACAATTATATCTTCATATATTCTAATCACCGTCCTTTCTTGCCAACCGTTAATTTATTGCCAATCTAAAACAAACGATTACAATAATGATTTAGTATTAATAAAACGATGTTTCAATTGCATCCATTTATTAACATCCTTCAATTACGAGACCTATTCTGTTTTATGACATCTCCAAGCTAGTCATCCATCCCGAGTCGCAAATCCAGTTTACTGTTCATTGGTTTCGAAACAGAGCGTATAGTCTCCAGATCAATGATCCAGGCCGCGTCGATCATGACGATTCAAAAGGCCACGAGTCCGCGTTTCTATGGGGCGCCGATAACTGCGAACCATTTGTATCTAAACTCGAGCAGACCTATTAATAAGAGTCTCCTTTTTATCGTGGCTGCGACGCTTCCTCCTCGAGTTCGTCGTGCATAAACACGAGCTTGTTATTCGAGGAATATCCCCATCAGATAGAAGGGCAGGTCGTTCTCGTTGGCTGTCGTCAATTTTCGCATTTCGATGGCGACTTCGACGTTTGTTTCGATTCGTCGTTTATGATTGTCAGGAACTGAAACGAAAAAAACAGAAAGGTGGAAGAGAAATAGAACCAATTATGAATCGAGCAAGTGTCATGAGCAAGAAAACATGGACAATGGCCGAAGATTTCCAGCTGTTGATGTCTTCTGGCTTTGATCTTTGACTCGCTCGCAGATAATCGTTCGCGTAGTCGATCGAAAGATATTGCTTATAGACAGAGCTAAGATGGATCTAACGAACTAGCAAATTAATTACGTGACGTACTGGCACTGATAAAATCGACGCCATTTGTTCGAATGTGTTCCACTTCTTACTTATCGATGTTTGGACAGCAGTGTAATCTTTAAAAATCTAAAAGCTTAACCGAGATAGGTTTGAACTATTTCATATGATTCTGTGTTTATTATTAATACTAGTAGTATCAAAATTACTCTTGCAACTCTGAATACATATATTGTACATAATTTGCTAATATTTTAATCATTTTCCCAACATTCTTCCTAGCGCAAAAAAAGAAAAAGATTCACATAAAAAAAAAGAATAGTGAGTGGAAAATATACCTATATACTTTCAAACTCAAAAAGAAACTAATAGCCATATAATTTCTTAGTATTAGGTTTTTGTCTTTTTCAATCCTTTGAAAGCTCACACTACAAAAGTAATAAAAGAAAATAAATTAGATGTACATTCTCTCACCTTATTGTTCATCTTTTTCCAAATTTGATACTAATGTTTAATATTAAGTTTAACGTTCCGCAGAAGTAAAGGAGTGCACGTTCAAGATTTCTCATCATTGACTTCTGGTCCTTTTTCACGTTCTTCAGCTGTGAAAAAAGAGAAAACGGTATGAGTCTATTTGGCGGATTCTCTCGAAACGAGCATGGCTATCGTAATTGGAAACAGGAATTGTTCCATTGAGTTAGCTGCTAAACAGAATCATTATGTCATCTATAACTGGTCAGCGTGATAAAAGGCCGACACGAGCGTGTTTCTCGATCACGTGTCAGCCTTTCTCTTCTCACGTGAAAATTATTTTCATGGATTACACTAGCTACAAAAGTTCGTCGATGTCGGTCAGCGGCTTCCGGCGTGAATAAATCGTCTTTCTACGCTATAAATACAATCTGGATTTCTTCACGCCGATGTCCAGGGAGTGCAAGATCGTCTCGTAAAATATGGAAGCCGCTGACCGGATCGGGACGTCGATATGTTTCTGTTAACGGTTACCTGGCTCCTTTCGCAGAATTTATAGTGTCGCGAGTAAATGTAACAAAAATCGAACGATTTCCGTAGCTTTTTGGTCTAAGTTCCCGTTCATTCGAATCATAGTGGATTTTCGTCTTACTGAATCACTGTTAGACGACGGAAAAAGTGAAAAACGTTGATTAGTTAAAAATGTTAAACCAGTATATTTTTTTTAAGTATCTTACTTACGTACAACAAAATTTGAAAAATTCTTAGAGATTGAAGAATGTCGATGTTTAGAAACTGACAATTGATGTACACAATACGAATAATATTGTGAATGTTGTAAGGAAGGAACTGAAAATTCCTTAAAATTTCAAATTTTCGAAGCAATTGAAGAAGTTAGTTTATACCTCGTTAGAAAACGTGTATTCATAAATAGAAACAGCCTTCATTTCGATTAACAATTCATCCTAATCAAAGCCACATAACCTCAAAACCGTTCTCGTATCTAAAAAAAGAGGCCAATTTAGTCTGGATAACCTAACAAAATTAATAAATTACATACATAACCATTATACGATATTTCGTGCAACGAACTACGATTACTCTCATTCGTTGGAAACAGGTTTGATGAATATGTACGAGCCTTGTCTCGCAATACTTAACGGCACACGCGGAATGGTAGACTAACAATTTTCGCGCATCCAGTGCGTTTGTCTTTCTCAACGACGCCGCGGCGACCGGTTGAATTTAACCCGTTCAATGTTTCAAGGGGGTCAACATTATTCGTCGATCGGAACGGTTTGCTTCCCACCCATTTTCCTACGATCTATCTGTGCTGTACCAGTTTGGCTGCGATAACGGGCGAATTATCATTGTTAACCAGCTGTTAGCGGTTTGGTGTCGTTGCATTAGCGTATCGTCTAGCCTGCATTTATTCGAACGTTGCGGTTACTCGCCCTGTTTAATTGCAGGAATTAATAAAGTATCGAGACCGTCTCATATCCCATGAGCCGGGAGATAAATAATTTATATCGTTTTTGCGAGCACAAAAATCGATCGAATATTATATCACGAAACTAATCGATTATGCTCATCGATTCGTTTTTCTCCTTGGTTGTACTTTCGCAGTATCAATCAGTCTGATGAGATCGTAACGTTTCGGGAGTCTCTGTTCAAAGATCATATATATATATAGAGAGAGAGAGAGTTTGTTATATACAAACTTTTTGTATATAACATACGAGGTTATATGTTAATATTCACTTGTTTACCAATGTGTATCATTCCTTTATTAATTCCACCATGTGTTTCATTGATGTACATGTTTCTAGAAACATAAGATGAGACTTTACTTCTATTAACTTTACAAATTTCTAGCACGCTTTAAAGCGTATAAAGTAAACAGATTAATTCTCAACTCTCTTGAAAGAACATTTCCAAACGTAACTAAGAAGTAGTACCAAAAATCTACTATTTAGATAACTTACAAGTGCTCCAATTTTGTCTTTAGAGTCATCAGCCTCTTGAAATCCACAAATGCTTCTCGGAAGCATTCTGTCGAGAATGTTGACGCAGTCTTTTAACGTATCTTCCGCCATCGAAGTGGTTGAATGGCTGGTTCAATACTTCGGGCGCTGGTGGTAGATGGCGCACCAGGCACTCAAAAATATTTCTCGTGAAAGTAGCGCGATATCCGGAGATCCTTCAGGATTTGTTGGTCCACGTTTGACCCTGGGTTTCGTCACCTTCCAGCCCCTCGAACGGTGTCACGATTTACGAGGGAATCTTCACGAGCTCGCAATCTTCTCGTAACGAGCTCTTTTCGAATCTTCGGGCCTCTTTGATCTCGCAAAGATTACCAAGTGGTCGTCGTTACTCATAGCCATGATTCAAAAGGGCGGGAAGTGTGTATCTTTTAATTTCGATACGCGTCTTCCATTGCATGGTTTCTTTTTGAGATAATAACTGTATTTTTGAATGATTTACAACAGGATTAATCTCTGCCCGTCGTACGGTATTCCACTGTCAATCGCAAATTTGAAAAATTCATCCACCACAATCGAAGTTTTGATTTTGCAATTTTAATAATGTCTGCTGAAGAACTAAAGACTTATTATTACTGAGAATGAAAAGATGCTTTGATAGCAGTGCAATGAAATGAAATCATATAGTATGTATGTAAATTATACAAAATATATTAACATATCATTTTAATACTATTATATACTATATTAATATCAATTAAAAAACATTATACTATATAATTATATATTTATATAATATACGTTATATATAATTATATAATATATTAAGAAATATATGCAAAATATAAGTAAGGTAAATGAATATAAAATATTGCTTGTCCTTTCCGAATAGCTGTTTATTTAAAAATCTATCACATAAAGATTAAACAGAAGAGTATGTCATAGGTTAGATGTATAGTCGTCGAAAAGGCTCCAAAGAACAATCTTCCTTTCTTTACTAACATTAATGCTGTTCGGCATGTTAGAAAGATAAGAGAAAAGAGATTCACGATTTCAACGGCAGACAAATAGAGTTAACAAGTTGGTCGTACGTTGGCCGACGAAAATTCCTCGGCAGCAATATCGTAACGTTATTAAGAGTGGTCACCGACATTGCAGAACTTTTCCGCAGACGCAAGGAGACTTTTTCACGGACAATGGGAACAAAGAAGAACAATTTCGCGGCGGTCTTTGTGCTTCACATCCTGATGCACACGACGATTCAATCCATTTCGTCGCGCGGCAACAGCGAAAATTCTTCGAAGAGAAACAGTTTGCTGAACGATGCAACCATGCTTCTGCGATGGACATCTCCACCGAGCTATGAATGCCTCTTCGTGGATCCGGATCTACCCATCTGTGATGTGAAATGGTGAGTTACTTAGATGTCAGATTGTTGTATTACTATTGTTACCATTATTTTTTCTAGTCATGCTAAATGCACCAAGTAAGTGGAAGAAATTGGAATTTTGTGAAAATTCAGGAAGGGACAAATCTTCTGCAGCAAAATTAAATGGTTGTAAATAATACATTTGACTATACACTAATTAAAATGCATTAATTAGTGTATTTATTAAAGTAAATTAGTGTATGGTGTAAAGAAGTTTGTATAGAAATTCTTTCTTGATAAAAAGATACATATATTTGATATTTCATGAACCATCCTGATTAAATAAATATAAAGACATCAACATTTTGAAAAAAATGGAAATAAATATAAATAAATATAAAAATATTTGAAGTAAATGGATTAATGAAAAATTTTTATTTCAACTTTGCAAAATTCAATGTTAGAAAATCAAAAAGAGATCCGTGAAGAAAATTTAGAAGCGAAAACCTAAGTATCATTTTTATGGTCTTCGATCAACTTTACGATCGTCTTCGTGCATAAAACGGAACGAAATTGCACTAGTGTAAGAATTAAATTTATTATAAGTTAATGTAACTTGTATTAACAGGTTTATATTAAATAAATTACAGAATTACCTTTAACAGTGTCTCTGAAAGAAATAAAATTTGCATAACTTTTAGCTCTGTATTATATTGTAGTCTAAAGTTATAACGTGGAATATACCGTGGGACACAATAGTAAGTCATAATACGATATTGTTCAGATTTCTTTCTATTTTCTAGGATGCTCGATTCAGCGGAGGATTCAACGAGCAGTGAAGATTCGTACAACATCGACGTTGTGCATCGTTCGAGAAGAAACGTCGACGTTTCCGCGATGGACGTCATAGTTTATACTTTCGAGGGTTGTTTACCATCCAGGTATCACTTTCATATATACACTATTAGCAAGCAAATTGGAAAATAAAATGAAATAATATTTCAAGAAAATACTTTCATTTTAATGTTAACAGCGGTTACTATTCAATAAAAATTAACATTCGTTTAACAGCAATCGAAGAATCACTTTGTTTTCTAGGAACTACTCTTATCGTTAAATGACAATGCAATCTTCGAATCGTTTGACAGGATTCCCTTTTCGATGCCTTCCTGCGAGGGGATTTCCCTGGACAGAATCATAGATGTACAGAAATTCCGTCCCTTTGCCGTAAAGGGAGTGACAAAGCCACCGTTCGTGTTTCCGAAATTCAATTACCCCCAATGGCTGCGCATGATGACGCGGTTGCGGAATCATGTCTCGTCGAAGATACGAGATGTAAGTAATCAGGTGTAACCATTCGACAACCTAACACATTTGTACCTGGTATTTATCTTTGTACCAATGTAACTTGAAACGTTGTGAAAGTTTTCTCTATCCTTACCATTGCGGAATTTTCTTTCTTCTTGCAACACAATTGTTCCTCTTCTTTAGTATGCTCTTTGATAGAATTTTAAACGTATTTCATAACTTTTTGTAACAAATTCGATTTAAATAATATTGTCCAATTTCTTCTCGTTGTAGTTTTCTTACCTGCAACGATAACATTTTTTATTCTTATCTTTTTAATAATTATTTGAATATATTTGTCCTTACTTTCAGGAACAGCAGCATACTAGCGTTTCCGAGGAAGCTTTTGTTGACGATTCAGCTCAGGATCGTAAAGAGGAGCTGATGAACGCAGCAATGATGAAACAAATGATACCGAACATGATTGCTGTCAGTATAAAAGACTCAAACGGGTCATCGCTCATCTCTAGCGATTCCAAATCCGCAAAGCTAACTGGTCAAATTCTGGGGACAGTCGAGGGCGAGTTAAATGCCAGAGGAATTGTACCGCAAGCTCGTTTCCCTTCTGAAAGTACAACAGATCCTCCGAGTCTGCAATCCCGTGATCAGATGAGCTCTATGAAATTGCGATCTAACGAATACCATGATCATTCTAGACTTAACATTGCCACGAAAGAACTGTATCCCAGCACTACTATTCCAGCAGGTCCAGAAATTCCGGCAATTCCAAACGATCGATACACGTATGATCAAATGGCGATAGAGAAACCTTTAAATAAGCTTCTAAGATATTATCGTTTGAAGAAACTCTTAGAATTGCCACCCGTCGAGCAGATAAATATAACCGAGGACGAAATTGATGATGATTATCCGTTCAAAAAAGGCTTTGTAGATATGTATAGAAGAAAGAGAGAGATAGGGTTATCTGCTGCGGCTCAGGCAATTGCTGAGGACTCGAAGGCACGTGGAATTGTCGGGAAATCGGTCGCGCGACGAATTCGACTGGGTGAAGAGAATTCTAGTTCCAAAACGAACCAATTCGCTTGCAAAAAGCAGAAGAAGCAGCCGAAATATTTGAAGATCGTTGAGCAAGGAATTGCAGCCAGTAAGGGCGTTCAGAAAACTTCAATTCCGCGTGACAGTAAAATGTCTTACGAAAAGCTCAATGCATTCGATGACTCAAAGGTGACGTGGCGAAAAACCGTATTGAGAGAAACGACGTTGAAGAAATATCGAAAACACATGGAGTTGCCGTCGTTCAGGAGCCAGTAATGAATGAAAGTTGACGCTTCGATCGAGAGACTAGGTTAGAACGATGCATTGCGCGGAAGAATGAAATGTAGAAATAAGAAGAAATTATGACAATTCCAATTCTCGAAGAACAATTTTAAAGAAGCTCTAATCCTGTCCTAACGAGGAATAAGGAAGCGCGAATAATTGAAAAATCACGTGGAATAGTCATCAAAAGGTTTTTCAATAATTTTGTTGAATTCTGGAACAAGTTTCGTTTCTTTCTCCGTTTTGTTTTCGTATGTTAATGACATCTCTCATTTTGTTAAGACGGATGTGATACTTCGACGAACGACTATAAAATCCCTAGGATGAATTTGCTAGGCTTGGCGATTAAAATCGCTGTAATTCGTACATCTTGTTATTCCATCGGCACTTTGAACGAGCACTACGTGATTCAAAATCAAGCACTCGACGCTTTCTCAGCCAAAGTATTCGCAGTTCCTTACGCGGGAACTAATGTAACGTTCAAGTTGTTTGACATCGTGGAACGACAGTGTGTTTATAAGAAATACAAGTGGAAAACGATGTTTTCTGCTGAAATATTCAATTTTATCACTGCATTTGAAGGATAAGTTGAGACTGTATATAAAATTTGTCATTTTGATCTACAAATATACATAGAGTCACGTTCAAATCGAACATTATGGATGTCTAATAAAACTGCGCAAATAAATGGACTGAGCATGATTTAATTTTTCGCATGTAAAAAATATCGAGGATACTTCTAAGATAATTACATAATAACTGTAATCATAGAGTTTATCTGGGTGTAAATTACGATTACGTAAACTGAACGATATACAATTCTATTAAAAAAAAGGAATAATGACGACCCTGAAATATTCTTGAGAATTATAGAAAACTAAATTACGCCTAGCAGTTTATAAATCTAAAATATTTTAACGTTTTCTAACAAATATTTATTTTCATACCATTAAGTGTATCAAAAAATTGGATAAAATTATGGATATCAGTTCTATATATCGGAATAAAAAGAGAATTGTGTAACAAAAATATTTGTTAAAACTAATTTATTATAAATTTTATTTAGATATTTATCTACGTAAACAAACTTTCTTGCTTTTTTTAATACACAAATTTCATGTTCAAATTTTTGTCCAGTTCTATTAAACATTTTTCATACACCATATATAAAACTTTTACTAGGGTTATATTACATACGAAAGTTACTAGTGATCAATTATTTCGTTGCACAACTGACATAGCGTCGAATGCCGCATATAATCGTTCCAATTATACTTGTACGAAAGAGTAAATCGTAAGAAGATCGTGAGAGTCACCTCCTCAAGTATGCTCCACTGTGGTAGAAGTAATAGGGTAAATAGAGCCGGATGAATCCACTAGCTCCTCTTCGATTTTGCTTGAAATTTGGAACGAAATTTATCAACGAAAACAAACTGACAGATAGAACAGCGGTAAAATTAAATCTGAGGCGAGAATATCGATGTTCACTTCTTTCGTTATCCCCACTACCGTTCCTTAACCGTTTGTCCCCACTCTTCGCTTATTCGTCAGTCCTCGTTTAGGCATGAAAAGACGTGCCTATTCGTTCTTTTATTTCGATGAACGGAGTCGGTTTGTAGGTGTTCCGTGTTTCATGTTTAATTTCGCAAATATGGATGTTAATTGTCATCGATCGTGATTATTCTTCTATATATCGACATCCAGCCAGTAGCAAACTCAACTCCAAGAATCTTTTTCGATGATCTCAAGAGACTGTGGAAACGGCAAACGTGAATGGTTATAGGTTAGATGTCGCGCGACGATTTCATCAACGTACTTTCGATATTTTAAGCTTTATCCTGATGTTTAAGTATAGGTTAAGTAGTACATATGTAATGTGATATGTAATCTAAGATGATACAGCGATAACGCATAGGGAAATAATTATTAAGCGACTGTCTACGGATTAGGAGTAGGTATAATGTAATTTCTAACTTAACGATGCATAAAATATCACAATTATTGACTTTGTAATTTTATTTTAGTAATATATGTAACGTAAGACGTTTTAAATAAAGCGTGGTACAGAATGAAGAGCATTTGGTTTTTGGATATCTTGAAGAATCCATATCTGAGGATTGTCATGTAACATGAGAATTAAAACGTTTATGTTTATTTATGGTATTGTAATTATTGGGAAAATCAAGGTTAAAATATTCGAATGAAGTACGTATCTTTTATCCTTTATTATTTATTTTATATTTATGCATTATTTATGTGAAGTTAATAGAATTTATAAAAACTGTTTACAGGGTCAAAAACAGTTTGAAACTTAATAAGTGAACGAGTAACGAAGTTTCTATTGCATAGTAGGTTCAAAATGTATTTCCAACCTTTTCAAATTTTTTAATGGTCACGTTATTTGTACTTATACATAATCTCTATGTTTCTAGCATTGTAATTAACTTCATTGGGTGTTTGTATCTGTGTCCTTTAAAATATTTATAAGTAATAACGGTTGAACTGGCTTTTCTTTGTTTAAAACATATTTATTACTATTCTGAATATTGTCCATAAAAATGTCTGGTTCCTTCGATGCCTTGTTCTCCATAATTTCAGTTTCCTTCATTCTTCCATCTTAACGATTTCAACCTGCATTGAGGCGTTATTTTCTATGATTTCAGCTTCTTTCGATACCTCGAACTTCTCACTTTCAGCTTCCTTTAAAGCCTCGTTCTTCATGTTTTCAATTCCTATCGATGCCTTGTTTTCTATGATCTCAGGTTGCTTTGAGACTTCGGTTTCCTCGGTCTCAGTTATTTTCGACACTCCCTTCTCCTCGATTTTAACATTGTTCAACATTTCGTTGACCATGATTTTAGATTCCTTCGTTGCCTTGTTCTCTACAATTCCAATTGCCATCGACTCCTCGTTCTTAACGGTTTTAGCTTCCTTCAATGCGGTGTTCTCCACAATTCCAGCTTTTTCTGACTCCATGTTTTTCACGATTTCAGCTTCCTTTGATACATTCTTCTGCATGATTTCAGTTTCCTCCGTTCCTTTATTCTCTACAGTTTCAACTATCTTCGACACTCCCACTGCTAATTCAGGCTGTCCAAGCAGGCTGCTAATTTCTTCCTTTGCTGAATTCACAAAATTAGATCGCGAAACATTACTCAGAAATTCAGCTATATGAACAGCATTCGAAATTACAGGTTTATTAATGTTCGAGATCACGATATGCTCCAATTTAGGAGCATTCGTAGTATGGACGTAATCCAAGGTGAAACTCGTAGACGTTTGCCCAAAATCAGGATTCCTGATGACAATTTCTGGCTTCGTTTTCTCAGCTGACTCTCCAAATGACTGAATCGATATCTTATTGGGCAACAGATTCCTAGACTCTTCCGGAATGTCACTTGATACTTCTTGACCAAAAATATTTGGCTTAGCCAACGAGATAGTTAGACTAGGTTTCAAATTCGAAGATGATTTCGAGTCTTCATCATTTTCTTCATGACTCTCACACAGTGGCACTCCAATTTCAGGTAGACAATTGTAAGCAACCAAAGTGGCAGTAATTGGAGAATTCAAGACCTTGGTAACGTAAATCTGCTTGGGCTTCGTTGCCTTGTCTGGATGTGGAAGCAGGTGTCTGCCTTCTCTGAGGTTCCTCTCTTCGTTTTCCGTTAGCACCGATGTTCTTTCACTCGATCCTGATGTGTTCTCAGAGAAGAATTCCTCATTGCCACGTGAAGACTCGAGGATCTCCAGGGGAAACGAGGAGATGACCTCAGAGGATGCAATTTCACTCAGAGGATCCACATCCATGGACGACACCCTCGACTGCGACTCACCAGCGGTCCATACTTCATATCCTCCTTTTCTTTCATCTTTAACGATAACTTGTTCATACTGCGACTGGGGTTTCTTCGGTGTATGGACGTGTCCATACAGGCACGACGATACTCCCTTAGCAGGTTTCACGCAAACTTGTTGACGCCACCGCACAATCTCAACTACCTGTACTTCCTCAGGCTTCTGTGGTTGATTTCCATGCCAGAAGAATCGGTTTAGATCCAAGGCTAATGCGTTGGAAAATATCGCCAGCAGTATCATCGTCGAAACTGTGAGCTTCATGATGACTCTTCGTATAAAGAATTGCTGGGTTGAAGATGAGATTTGAGACTGTCCAAGGAATCTTCTTGGTAAACGTGAAGTCTTCACGGATTTTAGAAACAAGTAGCAAGAAGGGTATCGATGGTGGACTGGTACGTGGTTGAAAGAGACCTGGCTATTTATAGGGAGAAAACTACCTCTGTCTACGTGGAAAACCCGCTAAGCGTCTCTATTTTCTAGGCGAGTAACTAGGATACCTATTCGTTGGGTAGGTCGACGATGTTTCGGGCGATTAGCAGGCCCGACGAATATACCTGAGTCGAAACCGATTCCGCTGCACTTAAGAGGGGCCACTAACGTCGTGTTAATTGCCCTTAAGGGTCATGGCCTGTGTCTGTATGTTGGACGTTCCTGAAGTGGACGAGTTAATTGCGGGGCTGGAGCACGGCTAATGTGAAGGTGCATTTCTGAAATGCTTCTTTTGCGACAAGCGTACTTCTCTATTTGATTGCGTGTACATTTACATTTGGTTTGTTTACAGAAAATTATCTCTACTCGTTTGAATTAATTTCAGCAGGGGCTAAGGTATTCTAATTAATTAGATGATTCCTTCCCTTTTTTAGACACGAGAGCTAGTTTAATTTAAATTATCGACTAGTGCACTCTAATTATTTTCATTTTTGTAGAGCATCGCAGTCGCTTGAGGGCACGCAACCGTAAGCACATGTGTTTGTAGTGATGCATACTATCAGGGAGTACAGTGGCGTATGTTTCTTTGACGAGAAATGTTTTAATTAATTACTTGAAATAGGCGAATTCTATTACACGACTCCAAACGTTTCCATTAAATTTAATTCTAATCGAAAATTTTTAAAAAATTTTTGTCAAATTTAATTTTATTATTATTTGAAATTGGAGATTAATATGTATCTATTATCTTCAAAGTTTTGTCGTTCGTGTACTTAACGTTAAAGGTAAAATTCTGAAACTATTCAAGATGATTGATTTCAGACATTTTTTCACAGTTACTGAAAATGATGCTGCTTTTAGCAAAAGTAATATTTTCTAGTAGAAGAGGAATGTACTTATATGTACCTATTTATTTCCACTATAACACTTTAATTATTATAAATTAAAGTGTTTATTTTATCACAATTGCATATTCTCCAATTTCATATTAAGTCTCTCGTTTACAATATTTACTTGAATTCGTGTTAAAAAATTGCAATTGATCTCGTTTGTACACCAACTTAAGCTTTTGAAATCAATGCAAACGTTTGGAAATTGCGCAGAAGCTCTACCTGCCGTACAACCGAATGCTCCAACAAAGGATTCTTTGGTCGAGCCTTCTTCTAATTCACCGGCTATTTAAATCCCCCTTCCCATATACATCCAACAAAAGCGTGATTCCATCGCAGGTAAAACGGGCCCACGCGATCCCTGGAAGGCCACTCGAGTCACCAAAAATCCCAAAACTGACAAAACGACCATAGGGACAACGGGATGACAACAAATGTGGACGAAGGAGGAGAAAGAAGGAACTCGAGCACACCTGAGCCGGATTCCTGTTAGGCATTAACTCGGCCCCTTCCTTCGTGGCAGTGCAGGGAAGGGGGGCGGCTCGAGGGACACGTGGAAAGGAGAGGAAAGGACCGCGGTGGCAAAGTAGAAACATGGAGGTGGACGAGTTGCGATTTCTTCGACGACGACGATGACGATGACGGTGACGATGGTAAGGCGTATAGCGCGGAGGCTGCAGTTAGAAAGCCTTAAGCCAGGTCCACAGTATCGCGCCGCAGCCAGCCGTGGCCGCATACCACCTGACCATCTACGCCGAACGATACACACAACCTGTCCGGCATGCACCGTGTCCGCGTACTCACGGTGCCGTACGCCTGACCGACTGGTACCAGTACGGTACCAGTTGCCCTGCAGCCAGGCAGCTGCGCGCGCGTGCCTGCCTCGTTCAAGGATCGAGATCGCGTTGCCGATCCCGTGATTCTATTATTTGTACGGTGTTCCCTTCGGTATAACGTTCTTTAATCTATTACTGGAATAAATATACGACACAATCAACCGGGAACTGGAGTAGCACCCTACAAGTACTGGTTGGCAGATTGGATACTCAGAGGACGAGGTATGTGCCTGAGGCGTAGTCTGAAAATGTTGAGTCGAGCTTGTGTGCCATTTGGAAGGTTGATCTTGTCGTGATCGAATTCCGGATCGACCGAGTCCCGGTGTCAGGTTCGACTGACACTTTATCTCTGGTCTTGGTGAACTTGAATTCACAATGGAACGGGCTGCGGCCAGGCGTGGTTCGAATACTTCGCGCGGTTTACAGGCTTTTCTAGGTTGGATTCCTTTCGCGTGAGGGGCCAATGTTTTTGTTTTATTCGGGTCTGTAAACTCCAGTGATATTGGAATTCGTGACATTTATTGTTATGGAAAATGGTACTATCTGAATAGAATTTCTAGATTCGAGATATTTTTCTGGATTGGGTAATGTTTATGGTTATGGGAAATAGTAATGTTTAGATTAGGATTATAGGTTTGGGTTCTTCTAGGATCGATGATATTTATGGTTATGGGTTATGGTACTGTTTGAGTTAGGTTTGTAGATTTGAGCCTTTTAGGATGGATAATATTTATGGTTATGGGAAATGGTATTGTTTATCCGAGGTTTGAGTTCTCCTGAGTTGGGTAATATTTATGGTTACGAGCTGTGGTAGTGTTTAGATTAGGTTAGGTAGATTTGAGCATGTCTGAAATGGGCGGTATTTATTGTTATGGAGAAGAGTACTGTTTATTATGCAGTAACATTAATAATCGTATAAATGATTATTAATATTATAAAACTTCAAAATGTATAGAAAAGTATTTTTTTATTGGAAGGTGTGGTTTACACTGCATTTTGAATCCTCTCGAGGTTGCATAACCACATTTCTTTTCATTTAAAGTATCATAATCGTTGAATCTGGGTGTGTCAAGGTATTTGAATACAAATACCCTCAATGCAAATTCTAAAAGCTGACATACACGTACACCATGTCGTGTTCACGATCTTGCGCTCTATTCTATTTTTAATCTATTCTTTAATTCAATATACATCTTTCTACGTTCATAGAATTCTGTAATTGAGATGAATTCACTAGATTATATTCATGCCTGCAGTTTCTCTCCACTACACGAGCAGCCATAAATTTTAAACCCACGATAGTATCTGTATAACCTCTTTTCCAATAACAATCAACATTTCGAGCAGCTTCCATAAAATATTTACAGTATTTACGCGGAACTATGATGAGATCACTGTTCGACGCGTCTCGCTGGCAAGTCACGGTTGCATAACAGACTTCATTGGTAGATATAAAAAATTCTGCACGTTGTATTAGGCCTATACGATCAGTTCCTCGTTTTCTATCGCCCTCGTGTACAGGTGCCAACTCTCGATGCACGATTTAGAGAAGTTAGAAAGTGCGACCACGGTGCTGTTTCGCGGTTCTTTCCTCCTTTCCTTTATTGCGGTCCGCGCGTAATTGCGAACGCACCCACGCGTGCGTACATCGCTGGAATGTTTGGATAATTCACGTTGTTCGCGTGTGCTTAATTTTTGTTTGTTCGCTGCGTGCTTGTTTCGTGCTGGTATGTACGGGATTAGAGACAAGCAGACAGAAATGAAAGGATTCAATTTTTACCACGTGCACTTGCAACCGGAACGTAATTTCGAACTGAAGTTTAAGGTTGTAGAAATGAGGTTAAGGTAATTTAGAATTTTTATATACATAGATTTTACAATGTAGTAAAGAAGTTGTTTCTAATACTTGATTTCAGACAAGTAGCAATAACATCGAATCCTGAAATCAATGTTTACTAAAATATAACCTCAAATTTAAGGCTAAGTAAGTGTGGTCGAGAAAATTTAGAGTTTCAGTAGAATTTTGTTATTGTAGAATATTTAATTGTAAACAGTAGGAATAGATTTAAATCCTTAATACATTGATGTCTTTTTGTAGGTTACTTGTTTAAATAGTGAATGAAAAAATATTTTTGTTGTCATCGAACGTGAAACATTTTAAAGAGAAGTGCACCGTGTGCTGTAATTTAAGGTATCTTTAACATTTATTTGGTTATGTTTAATTTTCTCTTGGAATATTTCCAAGTTATGACTACCAGTGTGTTTAACACAGTTCGTAAATTTATATTACGTTGAAAATACAATTTAGTTTAGCTATAAAATGTGCTTCAAATTTTCATATAGAATAAAGAAGAAGCTTTAAATTAAGATTAAAATCTTAATTTGATTCTAGATTCTACAAATCAAGATAGTGCGGTAGTAACGAAACACTAAGTGTAAAATTTCGGATCGTTAAGAATGGTAGATGCAGATACGATAGTTCTGAGCGATTTGCATGGTCCCCTGCGAGCCACGCTAAAGCCAATATGTCGTTTACGCAACCTCGAACTCTCTACTCGCTGTTTGGATCGTTGCTTCACGTGGTCTCAGCGATAAAGTCGACTTGGATAAACTGGAACGTCTAAAATTACGCAATATGCAGCAAAACGTTTCGAGTAACACTCATCATTTGATGGAACGTTTAAACAGTACGAAATGCGCCTAACAATTTACAAAAATAGATTACAATTAATACATCTCAGATCGTGCAATTCGTATATGCCCCGCGTCGAAATTTCCACTTGGTATGAATATTACTAAACTACAACTGTTATCAAAGTTTTTTTGAAAAATTAGGCTCCGTATTTTGTATGTCACATATTTGTTTTGCTAGCAATGATTCATTATAATAGATAGAAATGAAGATAAGGAATAGATTAACTCTCTAACAAATATTTGATTTATTTATATCAGAAGGTTAAAGTACAATAGTTCAATTATTAGCATATAAGATAAAATTTAAAATGTATTGTCGTACGGACATGTAATCCTCAAATTATACAGTGCTATAACGCTTTAATAGAGCATCGATAATCGTATTATTGGGCAACACTGTTAGTACCGTGTGTTAACGATATGCAAAACGTTGACCGACGAACCGTCAGAATCTGATGACACTGATAAATAACAGGCAGAGAATAGCGAACATGAGAGAAAAGCAAGAAACAAGTCCACGAGAACAAGAGTCACGTATAATAACATGATTATGCGTTGCACACAATCACACGCTTATTCACCGATTCTCGTGAACACGCGGTGACGCGACCACACGGTGTCGTAGGTGCTGTTCCACGCACGTGTGTGTTCCCATTGCGGGCCCACTTGCCTGTCCATTCATGGTGAGAACGTTGCGGCACAAAACCTCGATGTCCATGTGCTTCTAAATTTCCATTTGGTAGCTGTATTTCTCTAAAAAATATTTGTTTCAGAATATAGTTATTTCAAACGTTTCTCAAGTTTTTATATTTTTAAATAATTTCTTATGAATTTTGACTGCAACATTAATTACCGTGGAAAATTGAAAGATCACTTGATTTCGTAGGTTGCCGTCGAATTATAATTTCCAAATTAATGGATTCGTCAAAGTTCTTACATGTTCCATCCACAACTATGATTAAGTTGGATGAAATTGTATCGAATTATCGACAAATCAGGGTACTTCAGGTTTCTACCGATTTACGTTCCTGATGTGAAAGAGT